GTGAGTTACCTTCCAGTAGAAGTGGGTCAAAGGCACCAATTACGGCCCACTAGTAGCTGATTATGGTTGATATGATTTTCTGTGTGATAATTGTTTGGTATGCCACCATCTGTTATGATTTATGTGCGAGTATACTATGATATTATGTGATATTGGTAGGAGGGGTAGGATAGTCCCCGTTTACAGGTTGAAAGAGACCGAAGGGGTATGCCAACAACTAGATATGATAGGCAAGCTACCAGTTAAAAGAGACGGAAAGGGTAAACCAGCACCCATATATGCTAGGCAGTAGAAGAATTTTATGTATATGCTAGGATATTATGTGGTAGTAGTAGGGGTAAAATAGTCCCCGACTACCAGTTGAAAGAGACCGAAGGGGTAGTCTAGCACCCATATATGTTAGGGAGTTACCGATTGAAAGAGACCGAAGGGGTAGGCTACCACCCAGGTATGCTAGGCAGGTTACCGGTTGAAAGAGACCGAAGGGTAGGCCATCACCCAGATATGCTATGCAGTATGATATTGTATGGTATGTGGTATAATGGGGGAACTCACTAAGCTTTGTGCTTACAGTTTTCAGGTTTGGTTTCAGGTACTTCCTCTTAATAGGGAGAGGATTCGGCTTGACTGTAATGCATCATACATGATTTTTTGCGCACTATGGATTATTGGGATTTTCTACTATGTTATTATTATGTTATGACATATTTGATTATGGATACACTGATTTTGATATGAGTAGCATTATGATGTTTTCAAACAACTGTTTTATAATTATTAAATAAAAATGAAAATTTTGGTCGTAAATTTTGGGATGTTACATGAGCTCAAAGAGAGGTTGAAGCGCCAAAGTATCTTTAAAAGGCACACAAAATAGACATATAAATCATATGAGGTGGCAGACATTATCTCATCCTCCAACTCTATAAATACATGCTCCACAAAAGGTATAAGAAAGTAACACAACACTCAAGAGTTTCTCCCAGACCTAGTCCTTAACACATAGATCTAAAGCTCATTCACAAACATAATTTCGGGTTCAAAGTTCATATTGTAAGGTATTGATTCTAAGTTCATACTTTGTGATTAAGTATACATTATTATTGATTCTTAGTTGTAACATAGTGTGACAAATCAAAAGGGAGATATGTGAAATCATTTCTCAGTTAGAAATAACCTTCTTTTTATTGCAGAAACACCTATGAAAAAAGTCATTTCTTATTGAGAAATAACTTTTACCTATGTATTGCAACAAAAAAATCTTAATAAGAAATGTCATATTCATAGTTGTTCCTTCAAAATTTGAATTCTAACACACTTGCAAAATGCTATTTCTCAATGAGAATTGACATTTTTGCATCTGTCCTACTAAAATGTTATTTCTCACTGAGAAATGACATTTTCTCTATAAGACCATTTTTCAATGGGACCATTTCACAGTTCTCTTATTTACTTGTACTTATTCGTTTTTTTTTTTTTTTTTTTTTTCTGGATTTTGGGTATTTGGATTTTGAAAGTTTGTAAACCTTGATCATTGATGGTCTTGTTGGAAATAGATAGATAAGATTAGAAATATCAATGATATTTATATAATTTGTGGATTTAGATGTCATTAGTGCATAAATCATTATTTGATGATATTTATATACTTTATTAGTTATATGAACTGTTATTTCATAAATTTTTTGATTGAAATTCATCAATTAACTTTCACATAATAATGTTAAATGTTCGTATTATACCATGAGAAATAACAATTTTTTAGTACATCACTAAGAAATGACTATATTTTATACTAAGAAGTGATAATTTATTAGTATCCATAAGAAATTATAATTATCAATAGTACCCACATAGAAATGTTCATATTATAAATTACAATTTCTCAATATCCCACTGAAGAATTGTAACATCCGAAACCCAGGTGTGTGTGTGTGTGTATATATATATATATGGTTTAAATTCAAGTTTTGTCAAGAAAACCCTCCCCTCGTACGTTAGGCGTACGTGCTTGTACGCTTAGCGTACGAGGGCGTGCATTCATCAAGCACCGAAGCCTCGTATGTGGGGCATACGAGGAGGTATGCAGGGCATACACTGCTTGGGTTAAAAATCCTAAGTTGTGGTCTTGTGCCCTATTTAAACCATCTTATAAACTTTGGACCTTATTTCTATTAGCCTCCTTTGCCTCTCAACGTCCTTAGAAACCCTAATAGCTATTAGAAGTGAGTTTGAGCTTGGAGTGTCAAAAGGAAGCCGTCTTTTGGGTGTGTTTGCAAGGAGAAGAGCTTGTGGTTGAATTCTTGAACGTGGTGAAGCTTCTAGATCCAACATTTCCTTCATCTTAAGGAGCTTCTGGAGGTATAAAGTCTATACCTTGCCCATTAATTGTTTAGATCTCCTTTTTGGTATTGTTTTGGTCTTTTTGGTCCCTTTTTGAAAGTCTTGATGTGTCAAGACCATTTGTGATGCCAAAGCTGTAGATACAGACATTTAGTGGCCTCTTCTAGCTTAAAGGTGCAAACTTTTTGGTGTTTGTGACCTCCATGCAAGCATTAAGTCGTTTATTAAGTTCTTTTGGGCTTTTGCGCTTCATTAAGCCATGCATGAACGTAAAGTTGGTAACTTTACATGATTTACCACCTCAAAGAGGTCAAGTCTGGGTATTGGAGCAAGTGTTTGAACCAAATAAGAGCTTAATGGCATAGTTGGCAAATCAGAGGTGTAAGCTGGGCGTACAAGCTCGTACGTGCAACGTACAGACCCTTAAGCGTGTATGCTTAGCGTACAAACTGAGTACGCTCTGCGTACTCAACAAAGGGTTTCAGTATTTTGGGCCTTCGGTGTGGGCTTCACATGTGGACTTTAGGAGCGTGGGGCTGCATCGTGGGTTGAGGCCTGATTAAGATAGGTGGGTCAATTTCCATTATGGGCCTCTAGGGTTATGAGTTGGGTTGTTTGGGCCTTTGACCCATTAGTGTAAATAGGCCAAGTTTGGTTGGGCCCATTATAAGGAAACTTGTGTTAGACATTTTGGGCCTTATGACCCATTATGGTTTGGACGTTGATGTTAGGCTCATTAGTGAAGGAAAGACTTTTGAGCCATAATAGAGGGATTTGGACTTAGGATTGTGGACCCTTGACTAGGTGGTGTCATAATCTTAATTAGGGATATTTGTATATTTATACAGTGTGAGATTTTGGATTGGTAGCTGAGCAGCTGCTGGTTTCAGCAGATTGAGGTGAGTCTTCTCATTATACCAATGGGTCGAAGGCACCAATATCGGCCCATTACTTGATATATGGTCTTAATAGTTGATTTGCAATGGTTTTGTTAGTTGGCATGTAATGACTTATGTGAAGACTATGGGGGAGCCCATGGCACTTGGTTATCAGACCATAGGGGGAGCCTATGACATTCCAGGTAAAGACCATGGGGGAGCCCATGATACTTGGTTATCATACCATGGGGGAACCCATGGCATTCCAGGTGAAGACCATGGAGGGAGTCAATTGCAATTCTATATATATGTTGCATGGTATTATGTAGCTACATGTTTTGTGTATTTTGGGAACTTACTAAGCTTTTGCTTACAATTTGTTGGGTGGTTCAGGTGCTTCTGGTTCTAAGGGGAAGGACCCGACTTGATGGCGCATCATTCACTCTCCACTATATTCATATTTGTTGTTTTGGATACTTTGATCTTTTAGATATGATTTGATGTAATGGAGCTTTGGAAAACACAACATGACTGTAATTCCTAAATTTTAAATGAAAATTTTTATCTAAATTTTCGGGCTGTTACAAAAATAGTCATATTGTACACTAAATTTCTTAGTACCTCGGAAATTGCAATATCCCAATGTTCATAAGAAATTGCAATTTTGCAGAACACCCTGTGAAAACATCATATTTCAGTTGTGAAAATAAATGCTTTTACACAAGTACGGTGCATATCCCAAAATATGGTGTTTTTCTATTAATTTTTGTGTAAATGTTAAATATATAAAGTATATTAGAGTAAAACATAAATAAGCTATTTTATTGACTCGTTACAATCCTCGTTATTTATTTATTTCAAAGCGTGTCTTAGTAAGATCACAAAAATATAGAAAAAAAAATAATTAAGTTTAAATTGAGGTATCACAATGGCCAATTTCATAGCTCTAGGTGGTAACATGCTATCTGGTGGTGGTCTCGTTTATGAGGTCAAATCAATATGCTTTTGTTCCCGAGTTCAACCTAATGAGAATAAAAATGGAAATGAAAAGAAAGTAAAAAAAAATGGTGATTCTAAGTTTCATTAAAAAAAAATGGAATTGATCACTTTTTCTCCAAATTTTTTTCAGGTTTGGATGGATTTGAAAAAAAAAAATAATAATTAATTTTTCTTCAATTTATTTCGAACTTGAGAATACATAAGACAAAATTATTTTAGTTTCCTTTATCTTCTTTTATTGATTAAGGAAGTGGAATGATTTCTAACTTTTCTTCCGAGTTTCGATATGGAAGGATTTGGAAAAAAGAAAGAAAATAATTAATTTCTTCCACTTGTTTGTAACAACACAAAAAACATTTTTTTTTTTTCTTTTCCTTTCTCTTGTGCTCTTTCCTTAATTTCTTTTGTCTTGTCTTGTTTTCTTTTTGTTTTCTTTTCGTTGCTTAAGCTTGGGAACTAAGCGGAAGAAGACCAAAGCGCATTCTGCATTGCTATAGTCCATTTTGCACGGAAGGTTGCGAAATTGATATTTGGAAAAAGCTTATGAAAATTAGCTTAATTCTCCTTTTCTCTTTATTTTCTTCGTCTACAAATATCTTAAAGTGGTGCGACTTTAGTTGGTTAGAATAGTATCAGTAGTATACAAAACATAATTCTTTAAATTTTTTAATTTTTTCGACTAATTGTGTGCAAGTAAAATCGTAAATCGCCACCTAATTTAAAAGTAAAGAAGATTTTGATTCAATTACACCAAAAATTGATATGATTGACCTATTTTCGGTTTTAGATTTTTTTTAATACACCTACAACAAAACCACCCTTAAAAGTCCAAATATCTATGTATATGTGTTAAATGCACCTTTCTAGCATGTGTTAATTTTTGGAGAGAGATTAATTATTGCTCTATCACTTCTCATGACCCCATAGATGATAAAATCAAAAATAGAACACAAAAATATTAAACTTAATCATGGTACAACAACCATAATATTTATAACCAAAGAATGCACAAATCCCAAGGTCAAAAGTCACCAATAACAACACATTCATAGCCATGAATCCATCATGAACCCCTTGTAATCTCATTCACCATCCCATTAGTGCTCTTCTCACCTTATCAACTACATCCATCTTAGCTTGCTTGCTCATTAACACAAATCCTCGAGTTTCATCCAATCGAAACTTATAAACTTCCCACTCGCGCTCTGCAGTCGAGTGTCTGCCAACCTCAGCCTGCAGACACCCAATTATAACAATGTCATCCAAATACAGAACAATTTCCACAATTATAATCATAAACTTTTAAACGCATAATCTCCTAATAAGAAAAAAAAAGTACAATGCGATGCAACTCACAGAGAAGATGCATATTCCGAGTGTCTTCAATGCAAATGTGACATCATAAAAAACACGCGGCCTTCCCTTCCCGGAAAGCTCAACCGGATTAGCAACAAAAAGTTCTGTATCCGGACCACGGTTTGTGATAATGACTCTTAATGGATGTAGCATCTCTTCTTTTAGACGTGAACATAAAGCAACTTGGTTTTCCTTATCCAATATCTTTTTCCCATCATCTTTTTGTATAAATAAGTCCAAACTTCGGTACCCTTTTACACTACTCGAGATTCTTCCATATGCAATCTGAATAAAAACACGATAATTAACCTATTCATTTCAAACATCAAACAAAATAAAATAGTATTTTTTTTTTAAATGTGATGAAAGTGAAGATGAGTATATATTATATACTTGGATATTGCAGTCTTTGGAGATTTTTAAAATGTCATAGATGAGAGCTTTTTGATCAAGGCATTGTATTTGAAGCAATGTATGAGCTGGACTCATTAAATTATCAACCGTTATAACAGCTTGTGATCGATCATCTTCCTTAGTGGCAAGCTGAAAACTAAACAATTCATCGGCAATTTCTTCCGAAATTGAAGTGAACCCTTTTTGGCTTTCATATTCAGGCCCTGATAACTCAAGTTCACAGCTTATACAACATTCTCCTAACACGCCACTTAGATGCTCACACGTTTCTTCTCTTCTAATTTTGGTATGCAATAAATCCCTAAAAAAAAGATTCAAGAATCAAGATCAACAAATGTTACTTCACATCACATGTGTAAATATATATAAGATTTCAAAAAGGCTTACAAGTGATCAGTGATAAAGAAGAGGTCCAAAACATTGCCATCTGGGTTTGTCATTACTTTCAAGCTTTGAATTGTGAGCTCGAGTTCACAAAGAACTTGTGTAACATCTATAAAATTGGAATTTTATATTGTCAATGAAGTTTCAGAAGGAAAAAAAGATAGAATGGTGGTAGTGATTACCATGGATTAACCCTTTTCGATCAAGAGAGAAGACCTTTAACAGATAAATCGGAGGTGGTTTAGAAGAATCGGGTAATTGATTGAGATAAAACGCAGGCAAAAACGATGGACAACAAGATAAAAGCCGCTGCTTTAAGCTCTCCCAATCAATTTTCAGCGAACATGGCCTCGAGACAACCCATAACACGATGTAACACCATTTCCCATCTGTAGAAAAATCTGATGCAGAAAGAAATCTTAGGGTTCGTCGTTGAAACTTGAATGTTGAGATTATTGAAATTCATACTAAATCAAGGAATCTCAATGGGTGAATTAACATAACATGGTTACAATTAGTTACAGTAGGATTAGAGAGAAGAAGGAGAAACCTCCACGGGTAACATAGAGTCCGAATTCGAGTACATTCCGTACAAGATCACAGCCGAGCCCAGGCTTGTCGGGGCAGTTCACCGTCACGACGGTTGGTTCGTCGGAACTTTTCCGTTCTTCGATCAAAACGACGTCTTCCCACGACATCCCCATTCTCTCTGACGGTGGTTCTGAACTTCTGATGTACAGAATTGACTCCGCCGGAGACCAAATCAAACTCCGCCGATTAAATCGAGTCGGGCATTACCGGAGACGGCGTATTTCCGGTGTTGCTTTGAGTAGGTGAGAATTCAGTTTATCATCTTTCAATCTTTGTTTGTCTGAATCGAGTGAAAGAGATGTAAACGGCGGGGATTCATGATTCATGTGCTAATGTGCTATAGGCTGGCTGGTGGCGGCGTCGCAGGTGGACCCATGCTGTGTAGATTCCACGTCAACCCGACAAACAACACGTATCCAAGGTCATGAACGTATTAGGATCATGTCATGATTCATTATCGTTTTGTCTTTGCCCATACACAATAACACAACAAAACTATTCAACTCTATTTAAAATTCTCTTTGTGGTTACAATAATGATCTCAATAGTCAATTCTTAGGACACTACGGACTTGCATTTTGGTGCTATGCGAGCTCAAACAACTCCAATCATGCGTCATAAATCATAATTGATACCAAACTAATGATTCCCACAATAATCGTGATAATGGCGTTTTCTTTTCGCCCCACCCAAATTAGGTAAAAAATATAATATTTAGTTTCTTTTATGATTTAACTTGGAATACATTAGAGGAAATTGTAGTTATGGTTCTATATGGTAAGCATTTTTCTTTCTAACTTTTATCATAGTTTAGTAAAATTGATACCAAAGGTTCTTTTGGTTTTCAAATCTTATAGTTGTGGTCCCTACTCCATTCCTTGGAACCCTTCTTTTTGTCTTTTTATTATTATTATTATTATTATTATTATTATTATTGTTTTTGTTGTTGTTGTTTAGAATTATTAAATAAATAACTAAGCCCATTTGCCCTACTTCCACCCTTGCCCTACGGGTCGATGTGGTCTTGAGACTTCGGGTAGTCTCCAGGGTTGCTAATAACCCACATAGCGTGTTGTTTGCCTACTGAGACTTCGGGTAGTCTCCACGGCAGGTGATAACCCATATTTGTTTTATGTGTTGTGACATTTGTGATATTTTGGGGAACTTACGAAGCTTTGTGCTTACAGTTGTTGATTATATGTGTTTCAGATACTTCTAAGGATCGCAGGAAATGGTCTGATTGTACACACTTGTTGGGAGATTATGTTATTGGACATTTTGGGATACTCTGATATTTAGATGTGAAATTGTATTTGACATTATGACTTTTCTTGGGATGGCTTTTATGAAAATTGTTTTCTATGGAATTAAAAATGAAAAAAATGGTTTGAAAATTTGGATGTTACAAAAACCTTATAAAATGGGGTCTGAGCGCGGGGGGCTTTAGGGTTTTCAACAAAGCTTTGGTTTTAGAGTATGAGACCGACTGTTTCATCCTCTAATGAGCGCATAGCACCCACAGAAAGTGAAAGGAGCTTGTTTAACTAGAATTTGACTTTGTTGACTTCTGACTAGGTTTGACTTTAGGTCAAACTTTAGGGTTGGGTCATTGACTGATGATTCATCTCTTTTGGTGTTAGTTGGTTAGCGAGATTGATCAGTGCAAGGGGTGAGATTGTTGATGTGCTTCTTCGGTTCTTCAGTCTAGGTGAGTTTCTTACTATGACACGTATCTTATTGTATATCCTTTGCATGGTAGGATAGAGGTACTATCAGAGTACAAGCATGCCAGTTATACATATGCAGTTAGAATACTTAGTGTCTTGGTATTCTAGATGAAACGTCCCAAAAATAATGACATAAAATTTTCATTTTTAAATTAATAAATAGTTAATACATATCATTTCCATGAAACCATGGTATCAAGATTCAGCAAAACATCATCAAATCAGAGTAATTCGTAGAATGCAGAAACATGTGGTGTGTGTGCTGCAATCATCCCGAGCTCTTCTATTTGAAAACCGAAGTACCTGAAATATAAATTGAAACCATAAGCACAAAGCTTAGCGAGTTTCCTAAGATACCACATACCAAAGATAACTAAGCACATAACGGGCCCCGACCATTGAGATACGGGCCCCGCCCACACTCGTATATCGGGCCGCACCTACTGAGATATGGGCCTCGCCCACACTCGCATAACGGGCCCCACCTACTGAGATACGGGCCCCGCCCATACTCGCATAACAGGCCCCACTTACTGAGATACGACCCCACCCACACTCACATATCGGGCCCTGCCCACACTCACATGACCATATAATCATATAAACATTCAAACCAATGCGAAAATCACAAATATAACAGCATATTGTACAATCATTGGGTCCCACCCACTTACAAATCATATATGCATAACCTGATACTAGCATACAAAATAACCATCGGGCCCTGCCCAGTAAGCATACAAAACATGTACACATGCAACAGTCACACAGACATCTAGCACTCTACATAGAAAACCATGGTCCGACATTGGTGCCTTCAACCCTCTAAACATAGTGAGGAGACTCACCTCGCATTGCCAAATCTCACAAAAAGAATCTATGGCTTATGGCCCGCAAGAATCCTCGCGCTATCAATCACAAGTTAAACATCTATCAATAATCGGATCTGACCCACACTAAGTGTCCAAACCAGGGTAAAAGACCTTTTTTTATCCTTTTCATAACTTGGCTCAAAATCAAGGACCATTCAACAATCCAAAAGCCCAATTCCAAATAAACACCCAAGGCCCAAAATATCACATGGTCAACCCTGGTCAAAGTTATGGTCAAAGTTAAAGTCAATAAACCATGTTAACTAAACACACCGTGTTTCCCCTTGGACACTTCGTGTTCCTCCCTCATACAGATAATCGGGAAAACCCCAACCAACATGTTGTGTTTGCCCGAGATTTAAGAGCTTAATACAATAAGTTGTTTTCTGCGATTCCACGAGCCCCAAAGCTCAGATCTAAACCAAAATGAGACTTAAAAGGGTAAAGTTTCCATCTTTACCCATAGGGACTACCAAAAGGTCCAAAAACCAAACCCACAAAGCTTGATTATGCAAGCACTTAACCAATAAGCACTTGATCATTGAAGACATAACCCTAAAACACATATCTATCTTCCTTGAGCTAGAAAACCACATAAAGTTGCCAACTTTACGTTTATGCATACCTAAATGAAGCTCTTAAGCTTAAAAGGGACTTAATACTTAACTTAATGCATCCAGGATGTGACATCCCCAATTTCACGGCCAGAAAAGACCGATTTCATTTATGCTTTTAAAATAAAATCAGAGTAATCTTTCAAAAAGTGTTGCGGAATTTGTCCCCAAAACAAAATATGATAAAAATATTTATCAAAGCAGTTCTTAAAGAAATGTATTTTTCATTTCATTACAAAAATCGGGATGTCAACATCGATACATACCAAAAGCATAACAGTACAATATAGGCCTTACAACAGTTATTTACATCTACTAGCCTATAATCCAAAATCTCTCGTCATCATCCAACTATGATCTTGTTCCATTACCTGTAATACGGAAAGTTGAGTGGGTCAGGCTTAGGTACTTGGTGAGCATATAGGGTTTTTAACCCACAAATAATAAATTTATTAATTTCATTTACCAACAATAAATTTATTAATTTCATCAACCAACAATAACCCTGATTACCCGTTCTTATTATCCTCACTTTACGTCCCTAAACACCTATCATAAGGGACCTAGCCTAAGGATCATCATCGGGAGGGACACTACTGCTAAAGGGATTCCTTAGCCATATATGTCCAGAAGGCAACCATGAGGGGGATGGAGTACACCGATGAACACATCGTTCACAAACACGTACAAGTTTCGAGCCTGCTAGCATTCCACTAGATTATCTAGAAAGGTCTGTGGTCGTCATCTATACTCTGCTAGATGACTGGAACATCAACAACTCAGAGGCCTCTCATCATTTTATTTAATCACACATCAACTATTTCATCTACCCATGTTATACCCAATATATTAGTAGATAAAAAAATACATATACAATTTAAATCATTCTAAACATGTATAAAACATTCATTCAACATCCATCTCAAATAAACAAACAACATATATACACATAGCACGTATTTTATAAAAAATACTACATATCTATGTGTAAGATGAAAGTGACCATACACTCACTTGATAGTATGGTGATTGGACAGCACTTTGTCCCTTAAAACAATGCTTTTCGATAAAACCGGGAGGTTGGCTCAAAAACTGGCTCTGCACGGGCAGAGTTTCAACTCGAAAAACACTTTTTCTTGGAGACTTCGGGCTCTCTGGGGATTTCTTACGATGCTAGGATGGTAACCTAGGCTTAGGGGGTTTTTGTGTGGCTTATAAGGAAGTAAAAGGTGAAAATGTTCTGAATGCAGTCTTCTCAATATCCTGCTCTCTCACCTTTAGCTGATGATATCCCGACCTAAGATCGATCTTTGAGAAATAGCTCGAACCCTGCAGTTGATCGAACATGTCATCAATCCTTGGCAATGGGTACTTGTTATATATTGTTGACTTGTTCATCTCTCGATAGTCTATGCAAATCCTCATGCTTCCATCTTTCTTCTTTATGAATAACACCAAAGCTCCCTAGGGTGACGAACTAGGTCTAATGAAACCGTTGTCCAACAACTCCTGAATTTGCGTCATGAGCTCCTTTATCTCCATCGGTGCTAATCGGTATGGGACTTTTGCTATCGGTGTTGTTCCTGGTAACAAGTCTAGTCGAAAGTCTCCTTGTCTATCAGGGGGAAATCCAAGAAGATTTTCGGGAAGTACTTTTGGATAGTCACACACCACTGGTATACTTTGCATATCCTTTTTCTCTTTTTTAGCATCAATCACGAATTCCAAGTATGAGGTGCATCCTTTAGACAAACATTTTCTGGCTTTCATTAGGGAAATGATTCCAGAACTTACTCTGTGCTTGTCTCTGTATACCATAAATGACTCTTTTCCAGGCGGGTTTACCCTTACTATCTTTTTCTTGCATGGTATCTTGGCATCATTGGCGCTAAGCCAATCCATCCCCAGAACGATGTCGAAACCATTCAGCTCAATCGGTAATAACTTCTCGTGAAATTCGTTCCCATCCAATTTGATGACGATATTCTTAATGCAATTGCTAACGGGTATGAATTTGCCACTAGAAACTTCTAAAATTAGGGCATCATCAAGTTACTTTATAGGCATCACTATTCTTTCACCAAATTTTTGTGATATAAAGGAGTAATTTGCTCCTGAATCAAACAATAAATTGGCAGACAATTCATTTACAAGAAAGGTACCTGAAGCGACATCCGTTGCATCCTTTGCGGCTTCCAATGTCATGTGGAAAGTTCTCGCCTTCGGCTTTTCTAGGAGATTGGACCTTCCTGCCTCTTTCTTCTTCGGGAAGCCCCTCAATATGTTCCCCTCTTCGTTGCACCCATAACAAATTTTCTTATTGAAGGTGCATTCATTGGTATTGTGCCTAGGTTTTCCACATTTAAAACAAGTGACCTCCTCGCCACATTTCCCAACATGTTTCTTTTTACACTTGTCACACCATTTTCCTTCGCCTCCTCTTCCACTCGAACCATACTTCGATAATTTAATTTTCTTGTTGGATCTTGAAGATACATCAAACTTCCTCTTCTCACTAACCTCTGCCCTCTCCTGACCCCTTTCCTTTAGCTGGGTCTCTACATTTTTAGATGCTCGGACTGCTATCTTCAGAGTAGTTTCCATCTTAACCATTGTGCCAAAGTCGGATGGCAGTCCGTTTGTGAACCTCTCAATTTTTTAGAGTTCAT